TTGGAACTAAATTATTAGCAAATCAAACGTGCTTGGAACCAAATTATTAGCCAATCATACATTTCTAGAGCCACATTTTTAGCCAATTAGACATTCTTGGAGCCAAATTATTAGCCAGTCAGACATTCTTGGAACCAAATTATTAGCCAATCAAATATGCTGGAACCAAATTCTTAGCCAATTAGACATTCTTGGACCCAAATTATTAGCCAATCAAACATTCTTGGAACTAAATTATTAGCCAATAGATATTCTTAGAACCAAATTATTAGCCAATTAGACATTAATGGAACCAAATTATTAGCCAATCAAACATTCTTGGAAGCAAATTATTAGCCAATCAGACATTCTTGGAACCAAATTATTCGCCAATCAGACATGCGTTGAACCAAATTATTAGCCAATCAAACATTCTTGGAACCAAATTATTAGTCAATAGACATTCTTAGAACCAAATTATTAGCCAATCATACATTCTTGGAATCAAATTATTAGCCAATCAGACATTCTTGCAACCAAATTATCAGTCAGTCGGTCATTCTTGGAACCATGCCATGCTTGGAGTCATCTGTGTGACGCTATAGATTAGTGTGACTCTAGGGATGTCTGCTATAGATCTGTGTGACTCTTGGGTTGCCCGCTATAGATCTGTGATTCTAGGGTTGTATGCTATAGATATGTGGCTCAAGGGTTGTCTGCTATCGATCTGTGTGACTCTAGGGTTGTCCATTGTAGATTTGTGTGACTTTTGGGTTGTCTGCTATAGATTTGTGCGACTCTAGGGTTGTCCGCTATAGATCTGTGTGACTCTAGGATTGTCTGCTATAGATTTGTGTGACTCCAGGGTTGTCCGCTATAAACCTGTGTGACTCTAGGGTTGTTTGCTCTAGATTTGTGCGACTCTAGGGTTGTCCGCTATAGATCTGTGACTCTTGGGTTGCCCGCTATAGATCTGTGATTCTAGGGTTGTCTGCTATAGATATGTGGCTCAAGGGTTGTCTGCTATCGATCTGTGTGACTCTAGGGTTGTCCATTGTAGATTTGTGTGACTTTTGGGTTGTCTGCTATAGATTTGTGTGACTCAAGGGTTGTCCGTTATAGATCTGTGTGACTCTAGGGTTGTCCGCTATAGATCTGTGTGACTCTAGGATTGTCTGCTATAGATTTGTGTGACTCTAGGGTTGTCCGCTATAACCTGTGTGACTCTAGGGTTGTTTGCTCTAGATTTGTGCGACTCTAGGGTTGTCCGCTATAGATCTGTGACTCTAGGGTTGTCCGCTATAGATCTGTGTGGCTCTAGGGTTGTCTGCTATAGATCTGTGGCTCTAGGGTCGTCTGCTATAGATCTGTGCGACTCTAGGGTTGTCCGCTATAGATCTGTGCAACTCTAGGGTTGCCTGCTATAGACTGATCTGTACAACTCGATGGTTGTCCACTATAGATCTGTGCGACTCTAGGGTTGTCTGCTATAGATCTGTGTGACTCTAGGATTGTCTGCTATAGATTTGTGTGACTCCAGGGTTGTCCGCTATAACCTGTGCGACTCTAGGGTTGTTTGCTCTAGATTTGTGCGACTCTAGGGTTGTCCGCTATAGATCTGTGACTCTTGGGTTGCCCGCTATAGATCTGTGATTCTAGGGTTGTCTGCTATAGATATGTGGCTCAAGGGTTGTCTGCTATCGATCTGTGTGACTCTAGGGTTGTCCATTGTAGATTTGTGTGACTTTTGGGTTGTCTGCTATAGATTTGTGTGACTCAAGGGTTGTCCGTTATAGATCTGTGTGACTCTAGGGTTGTCCGCTATAGATCTGTGTGACTCTAGGATTGTCTGCTATAGATTTGTGTGACTCTAGGGTTGTCCGCTATAACCTGTGTGACTCTAGGGTTGTTTGCTCTAGATTTGTGCGACTCTAAGGTTGTCCGCTATAGATCTGTGGCTCTAGGGTTGTCTGCTATAGATCTGTGTGACTCTAGGGTTGTCCGCTATAACCTGTGCGACTCTAGGGTTGTCCACTATGATCTGTGACTCTAGGGTTGTCCGCTATAGATCTGTGGCTCTAGGGTCGTCTGCTATAGATCTGTGCGACTCTAGGGTTGTCCGCTATAGATCTGTGCAACTCTAGGGTTGCCTGCTATAGACTGATCTGTACAACTCGATGGTTGTCCACTATAGATCTGTGCGACTCTAGGGTTGTCTGCTATAGATCTGTGGCTCTAGGGTTGTCCGCTATAGATCTGTGGCTCTAGGGTTGTCCGCTATAGATCTGTGACTCTAGGGTTGTCCGCTATAGATCTGTGACTCTAGGGTTGTCCGCTATAGATCTGTGCGACTCTAGGGTTGCCTGCTATAGACTGATCTGTACAAGTCCATGGTTGTCCACTATATATCTGTGTGACTCTAGGATTGTCAGCTATAGACTGCTAAATATGCTGCATTCACCTTTGTTGCTTGGAGCATGATACTGTAAGCACCGTCTTTAGAGGTGAAATCCGTAATCAAAGATAATACAGGTCCAACTCAACTTTGTGGAACTGGGTCCCCTACGAAATTCTTATGCAGATTGTGTGGTGGTGGTGATGAAATCAATTGAAATCAAACGCCCTCTAGCAGTCAGATTGAGAGATGCACTGAAGAAAACATTCTCATTAATTTTAATGTCCCCAGAATCAATTAGGAATTATAATAACATAACATATAATACAACATAGTAGTGGACATGCCTTAATTACGACACATTGGACTGATATACTAAACTTTATGTATTATAGTACATTGTAATCAAAATACAAGTTTGAGGACAACTTGAGATTTGATTACGATGCTAGTTGAGAGTCAAGTCATACATTTAGTGTGTATAAAGTCCTGCAATGGGGTATTCTGATTGGTCAAGAAGCATTTTAAGCTATATTGGTAGTACCGGTAATATACTTCATTTCAAGTCATATTCAAAGTAACATAAAGTTTCTGAATTAGAGCCTACCAAAATGAATTACATTGTATGATTAATAGCTTCAATAATTAACATGTTTTATTTCCAGAAACCTTTACTGAATTATACATAATAAGTATTTAAATTGTCTTTGTAAAATACACAAACTATATACATACTTAGAAAAACTGATTGATAAAAGTATTTACAGCAAACACTTTATGTGTTTTTAGGGTTATTGATATTTTTCAACTATTATAAATGTATATGACATATTATTCAGTTGATCATTGACTGCACACTACAACTGAGTAAAGGACAGTTTCTTGTACGTGCTGACTATAAGAAAACTTGTCATGCATGTGTGCATGAGTGACCATTTTGTACATCCTGATGGTATGAATAATTGTCCTGAATATGCACAGCATTGTTTGTTGTGTTTATAACCATTATGAAAAAACCGCAATGAATAACATAACAGACATTAATATACATCTGTAATTTTGGATTTTGGATTTCCCATGGTGTATCCTTGGATTGAAAAGATGTATAATAATAAGGTTATCATGAGGATACCTCAAAGTATGCAATCAGACAGTATGACGCGCATAGACCTCCACTGCGCATCAATCAATATTCCAGCTGTATTGTCTTTGTGCATACTTCGCTGTATCCTCGTAATAACCTCATAGTATTAATAACCTGGTTAGTACATGCATTTTCAGACTTGTAACAGTAACACTATACTCCATTGTAATTCATAAAATGTTGCATAATATTCCAAAAATACCAATAAACCTAAGGTAGCCTAAGTGCCACAATTCAAAATGAATAGCAACAATCACAAAGAAGCCATAATTACATCAACTGGTAAAAATGATACTACAATATGGCACACAAGTGTTATTTGGACGGTAATAGTGCTTTACATGTAGCAACATGGTAATTGAAAAATTAAGCCTGGCTGTATGTGATGAGTGTTCAAATATGTGTCAAACCAAGCAACACACTGTGGAAGATAACAAATCTTTAAGAGAGCAAAAATAGATTCAAAGCTAGTAATCTGTGACAGTATTTTGACTGCATGTTACTGTATGGGTACTCTATTGTCCTTGGCCCATTTCTTCATTGTTCTCATGATGTATTCCACTTGTGGGTTACTGGTGTTGCGTAGAATCTGTAACACATCGCGCAGAGTCTCTCTGAAAAATCAACAGATGTAAGATTATTAGCGCGAATAATAAATTAATGATGAATCCCAAAAATTGACTAATCCAACTGACCATTTGGTAGCTATTCAAAAAATACATTTAGGTTCATGGTGCACAATTGATACAAACTAAATATAAATATAAGAATTGACCATCTGTGTTACCTTGGTTCATGACCAGCAATAATCTGTTGAAATATTCCCACACATGCTCCTCGTTTTCCTTCCCAGTATTCCGGATTGGGATCCAACCGCTCCAGTACATCAAATGCCTTGGCTGCATAATAAAACTGTCCCATCTAGAAAAGAAAATTACAATTATTTTGTGCTTCTATCAACTGACATTTAGTCAATACTAAATCAATGTGACCATGATAAACACAAGATCAACAACATTGTACAAAAGCTCTCAATGTAACAGGTCAACATAACGATACGATTATGAAATCCCACACAGCCATATTGGTCAACACATTTCTGCTGTACCTTATAGCAATCATTAGCAATCAGCTGCAATAAACTAAATGATTCTCCTGATGTTTCCATCTTCAAGTACAATTCCCATGCTAGACGAGCTTTCCTGTTCATTATGTCTGCAGAAGCAATAACAATTTTGAGAACATGATAATTAAAATATTCCATCATGTTAATTTTAGCTTTATAAGGAACTATATGTACAGGTGCTAATCAGATAAACACAGGCCACATGAATTCAAAAATAAATCTGGCTTTTAATGGTGCGTACAAGGCAATTGCAGTTTTACCACGAATCACACAACTTTCGATTTGAGCATAAAAAAGTACACATTCCCCTAATCTAAATGAGCTAACCATGGCATCTAGGCATTATAATAATGCATTCTGTTGATTTTTTTCAGAGTAACATTGAATTAATGCAGCTTATACAGAATCTTCAATAACAATGGTGCAGGGAGAAAACAGTGTTCCAATAGCAAGCCTATAAAGGTATTGTACATGCATTATATTGAACATGACACACCACAACAACTATGCTACTTCAATAAGCAAATTACAGTATAATCCTTATTGTTATGTGAATTGGTCAAGAACACATGACTTACAGCATCTTGCCAGCCAACTAAGGTAGGTATAATCATTCTTAAACTTTTCATTTTGAATTAACAGGAATATCTGAAAAATACAACGAAATGGTACATGACAACAAAAAACATAACTTGATAGAACAATATGATTCTGGTTTCTGAGTTCTGAGTGAAAATAAATGGAGCATAGGGATCTGGAACTAATCCAATTATCCCAGGTTTTATTAATGGACATTCAGGACTATAAAAGAAAATGCAAATTGAAAAATTACACAAAATACAAGAACATATTTATTGATTGCTGATACTTTCTGAATGCTGTTTGTTGGAGTTTATTTCAATTTTGAAGATTTTCTAAAATATTGAAAAAGTAACATGATGTAAATATTTAACCAACCATCATTCACCCTGTTAAATCACTTTATTTGCATGTTATATGGGCGAACACACTCATGCTAGTTTGTAAATACAGAAAATTCCTCTGAAGGAATTACACACATCAAACTTGACACTGACGGACCCCAATCACTCCATATACCATATTTGCTCTATTAGTAACATGTGCTTACGTCAATGACAGATGATAAGACGTATTTTAATGATTCGCCATACATTTTAATTTTTGCATTATGTGTACTTCTATTAGAGACATGTTTTTGATCTAGTATAGAGCAAATACAGTTATTCAAGGCAACAATGTTATTTTTAGTTTTTTAGACAACCAAGCTTTGGTATAAACTTGTCAAAATTATATACCGGTAAGTATGTTTTCAGGCCAGACAAAAAATCATGATATACAAAGTCAGATGACAAGTTAATATTCCCAACAAAACCTCCTCCTGTCCACATCAGTTTATTTGTTTTACCTCTTCAGCCTCTTTGTAGTTACCAGCGGTTGCCTTCGCCTGGCCATAGTTGAAGTTAAAGGATTCATCATTGAAAAAATAACTCTAGAAATCAAGTGATACACAAAGGGCATAAATGATATGACTATATCTACATACACAAAACTAATCAGACAGCCATCATGGTTAGATGTACATGCTGTCTGATTACTTTTGCTGTCAGAAATATTTCTGGTGAATTACCTCCTCGGCTTCTTTATAGTTGCCCACACTAGCTTTGGCTTGAGCATAGTTGAAGTTGAAAGAGTCATCATTGTAAAAATAACTCTGTTGTAAAAAAATACAGG